TAGCCGTGCGGCTTTTCACGGCCTTTTGAAATAATTGTTTCATGAGAAACGTAGATTTTTTTTTAAAAGTAGGACAAAAAACGAAATTACTCAAAAACTAATTGATTTTCACTTCACGCGTTTTCATGAGGCTATCCGCGGCCGACCTCGGCTACCCGCAGCTTTTCACGGCTTTTGCAAAAAAGCCGCGGCCGGCCTCAGCCTCAAAAATCGAGCCGCGGCTGAGGCCGGCCGCGGTTCAGCGCTTTTTGCACAGCCTTGATATTATCGAATGATCAAATTAGGTCATATCCAGTTTCATAAATTTTTTACGAAAAAGACAAAGTTTCGGAATGTTTTTAAAGTTACAATGGGAGTTTTTGGATCATTACTATAATCGCTTTATTAGCTAAACCTTATAAACATGAAAATACATGAATTTTCTCCATTTTTTAAAAATCCTAACCCCCCCCCCCCAAACGAAAATCGATCAATACTTACCAAAAAGAGGAGAAAAATATGCCCTAGCTCGATCAAAAATGTCATAAAATTTCCCAGAATCGACCGGAAAAACGGACACATAAAAATTGGGAAAATCGGAAAATAAAAAAAGAGAAAAAAGAAGAACAGTCAGTGTGTCGTTTTGTCGATGTGAAAAGCAGTATTTATATGAAGCCTTTTTCGATTTTTGATCGAAAAATTTTTTCTAGCTGCAAAAAAAAAAGAGAAAATTTGAATTTCAAATTTTTCGGTTGACATTTTTTGTTTGATGATTACATAGTATGAGAAAAATATTGGGGTTTTGGAAGTTTCGAAATTATAGGTTTTGAGATTCCAGATTTTGAGATTCTACAATTCTGAAATTCTGAATTTCTGTAATTCTGTAATTCTGGAATTATAAAACTCTAAAATTCTAAAATCCTGAGATTCTGAGATTCTGAGATTCTAAAATTCTAGATCTTGAACTTCGGAAATTCAAAAATTCTGAGATTCTGAGATTCTGAGATTCTGAGATTCTGAGATTCTGAGATTCTGAGATTCTGAGATTCTGAGATTTTGAGATTCTGAGATTCTGAGGTTCTGAGATTCTGAGATTCTGAGATTCTGAGATTTTGAAATTCTGAGATTTTGAAATTTACAGTATCGAAGTACGTAATATATCAAAATAGGCTTTAAAAATGCTAAATAGGGGTCTAAAATAGGCTGAATTAGGCTTAAAGTAGGCTACAAAGGCAAAAATGACTCGATTCAAGCCGAAAACAAAGGATTTTGCTGAAAAGGGTTATCTAATCCATTTTTAGATTATGAATTTCTGAAATTAAGTTCTAAAATTCATACATTTTGAAATTCTGAAATTCCGATATTCTAAGAACTGAAAAACCACATCTATGGGTTTCCATATCCGAAAATGAGAAAAATACATGATCCTGACACATACGCATGAGATTTTTCATCCTATAGAAAGAAGGATTATCTTCACAAAAAAAAGGGAATGAGAGCCCCGAGTGC